TGCAGCTTTGTTGCACCGTCGCTCGTCACATATCCGGGTCAAGGATCAAACGAAGGCTTCTCCCACGATCCAGCTGCAGTGAAATATTTTTACATTTTGCTGCTATTGATTTCTACTTATTGTGACTACCACGTCGATACATCATCGATATAATATATGTATAACCGATGAGCGCTAATTCCTCGGAATCGTACACCTATTGAAATTGTATACGGCAGACAATTGAAAAAATTCTGGCAAAGTGCTTCTCGAGTACACATCCATCCTGTGATTGAGACGTGTATTTGTTAAGTATAGAAAGGAAGACTAATGAGACTAATATTTCCATAATCGCAAGGATGTGCGCGTGTAATTGAACACCAAACCAGTAACACGAACTACGCGATTTCTCAGTTTATTTTTTCTAAAAAAAAAATTTTTTTTAATAAAAAAAAAAAAACGTGAAATCGATTCGAAATTTGATTGAATACCCGATGGAAAGCCACATCCCTCGCACTCGAAACAAAACTGACCCGACCAAGCGAACGCCGCAGGATAACTTCTCGTTTGACGCTTCGGGAGCAACGGCTGCGTTGGACCGAGCCGAGACTCGGACCAAACTCATTTACAGACGAAATTGAACCCCCTGATTGGCCTACAGCTACAACTGCAGCGGTACTCGTATCACCCGTCACAGTACACACCGTACAGGCAAATATCACCAAAGAGAGTACATATAGGTACATCATTTATATAGATACACGCGATGTGAGAACTGCAGCTGGACGCCCCAACTTGTACAACCGATCCCGTAGGGCGGCTGATGGCTCTGCAACTTCTTTGCACGTATACGTCGGAAGGGAGCGAAACTTTGCCACGTGGGGATTGTAATTTCGGGCCCGATGTCATACGCACACGCGAAACGAGACTTCGTGGTTACCGCGTACACGTATACGCATATGTTAACGTACGAGTGCGGGAGGCGCTTCTTGGATCGTCATCGGTAAAACACGTGTAATCTCCTCGGCGGCTCGCCAATTAAAACTTTCGCAACTCCGATCTGAGACCCTCTGCGTCCTCATAGTGCCCGGGGATTAAATCCCACCCGGTTGATTACCATTAGCTCGGCTCTCGCGACTTTAAGGGTGCAAAAAAGAATCATCTCCCATTTTTTTCCGGACCTCGCTGCTGGATCCAATGACTCACGCACCATCGAATCGTAATAATCGCGAGATAAGAGAAGAAAAAAAACGCAAAATGACCTACTTGAAGTTATTACAGACGCGTTCGTTCGAGAGTGACAAATATGTATGGCAGGGTTACCATTTTTTTTTTTTTTTTTTTTTTTTGAAAAAACACCCGTACGAAAGGGAGGATAAAAACGAAACGTCGAGCGGTGGAGATAAAAAAGAGGGACTGAAAAATGACTCGGAGTCTCGCGTTTCCCAAGCTTGGCAAACTTGCTCTTTTCGTTATTTTTGTTTTATTTTTGTTTTTTTACCACCGACAAGGATTTTCCTTTCATCCCTCTCTCCCCCTGTCCCTCGATCCAATACGGCCATTTTTGTTTCTCTTTTCTTTTTTTTAGGAAGTTTTTTTTTCGCTCAAGCTTTTCCATCAACAATCGTATACGCACAAGACAAGACGGAAGAGAACAACGTGCGGCTCTTAATTGCTTAATTTCTCACCGCTCGGGTGATTTCGCAGGGAAGGGAAAACAAAGAGCGGCCCGTTACTTTGCATTCTTGGGTATGATTGTACACGTGGCTCCGGTCGGGCCAGTTCGACTTTTGTTGTGCCACCACTATAAGTGTATACTTAGCTGCCGCGACACATTGATCGTGCATCTCGGAGTCGAATGGTCCCTCTCCCAAGGACGAGTGGTAAAAAAAATCAGTCAGATTCTCATCTTGGTTAATTGTGTGAGCAATGCGTTTGGCGTTACTGAACGGAGACTCGGCGGCCTGACGAAAATCGAGAGAACCCAATTACAAAGTATGATTGGACGGAGCTCGCGGCTACACCCCCGACGAGTGGGAACGTCACGAGAGGTGAAACGAGCATATACATATATGTATCGGTTTCATTCGCTGGATGATGCGGTAAAATTTTAGGCGCAACGAAACGACGTTGATTCGCGACTATATGTTCCGAAATGACTTGCACCTTGGGCTCGTTGTTAATTGTTGTCCGGTGCTCGCGCGGTGCGGCGCTTACCGTATATCCCACGCGTCGTGTTATTTACTGGTACAATGATAATGTTTTGCTCGACCCTGCCAGTAAATGTTACATACACGGTGTTTGAACGAAATTTTAATTGAAAATGACCGGTATATGGATACACCGTTACGCCGATTGGGAATCGCTTCGTTATTCGTTGCCAGCCGATAAATAATGTCATTAATTTTTCAATTAAATCGTCCTTACGCAAGGGCTATTTTTTGAAAGACCGTCACTGCTCGCGGTTGATTGGTTTTTTTTTTTTTTTTTTTTTTCATACCAGTAATTTCTGAAACGTGTGTACGTAGAAAAAAATATAAACCTCTTTTTTTTACTCTATACATCTCTGAAATCAACCATACTTACAAGTTTCTTGGTGCTACGCGGTGATCCGCCAACTTCATCTACACCGCTTATAATATACGCGCACCCCCAAGAATAAAATCCAAACCTTCCCATCTCGCTGCGATTCAATATTCAAAATCAGCCGATTTTGTTTCCCCTTCGTTTTTTTTTTTTTTTTTTTTTTTTTTTTTCTGTTGACTCGAGTTTCGCCTCTCTTGAAGGTTTGAGAAAAACGACGCTGGATTTGTGGCTTCTCAGCTTCGGAGTATTTTGCAAGGAATATGATTACCCTTTGGGGCGGCAGAGACACGAACACTCCCGCGTTTTAAGCCGAAGCCGTTTTGACTCGAGAACACGGGAATGGGGGGTACACTTTGTGGAAACAACTGGTGGTGTAGCCGAGGGGGGATGTGCGATGGAAATTTGAAACTGTTTCGTGACTCGCGACCGGCTGCAGGGAAGTCCAGCTCCGTCGACGTGAATCATTTTAAAAAAGATAATGCCCCATAAATTTACTCTTTGGACGCATTAAGCATTCATATTTCACGTTGTAAGTACTATCCAAGTGAAATAGGGCACGTGTACCCATTAAATACGCAAGCCGGTGATTTACGAATTGCTCATCGAGAGGAGAAGAGAGCCAATTTAACTTCCCATCACTTTGTACGGAGAGTTTTATTTCCTCTTCTCGCGAATGAATTAGATTCGTCGTGCATACGAATATCTTTGTTTCGTCCGACCTATTACAATGACCCTAAAATTTATTGCATTGCATTAAATTCAATGTGCACCCAATCACAAGGTTTTCATGTATCTCTAAGCCCTTTCTTCCCAAATTGCCCTCCTCTTTACCCAAGCGTGCGAGTCCGAAAAAATCTATACTGATCGTCTAAAAACAATCTGATTAAGGTAAGCGATGGTTTTCCGACATTTTGCGTACTCATCCTTATCGATCCCACCTGAGAAGAAATCTCGATTTTTTTTTCGACACGGTTAAAACTCCACTTGATATCCTTTGAGGCTATACTGGTGTGCTAACCACGAAGCCATCGAGGCACTCTACCGTAATTTATTATTGGGTTCAACTGGTATGTTAACAACTGTGACCAAACGGGTACTATCAAAGTGTACAGTGTAAAATAATTTGCCGCGACGCAATCAGTCAGTCGTTAATTAAAAATCACTCGTTTGTTCCTTTGGTTGTTCAACTGCAACGCTTTAATTGTAGCTTTTTACATGAATGCAAATGAGAGTTCTGCACCAACAACATGTTTGATTATGCGAGGGTAAATTGAATCTATAAAGTTTTCCAACGCCATTTCGACGAAATCAAATTTCAACTGTCGTACAGCGTGAAGTACACGATAAATTGTTTGAAATGAAATTTGAACGAGAAGCCCAGTGCGCATAAGTTTCCGGTCACAATTGCCAATTGATATTGCTGATGTCGGAGGTGCAGTTAATTCAATCAAAAACTTCCCAAACGCTTGATTAGTGCATAACTCATTCGTAAAAGCGTTTCCAACTCCGCGATGTCGAACGGAAGCGAGAAATGTGCGATTAAAACGATACATCGGTCCACAGACCGAATTACCCAATATTGACAGTTACGAAATTTCGACCGATGGTTGAGATTTATGAGTTAACATCTATTCGTGTACCTATAATTTGTCGAATGGACTGATTTCCCATGGACTAAATAATCACATCTGTGCAAAGTTTTTTTTTTTGTTTCAAACTTTGCACGCTGATTCAAATCTCTGATCAGGATGGATTCGTTAAAGCATGTTCAGTTAATAACACGCGAACGACACGAACACGAATAATGGCTATCGGAAAGTATCATAATCAGCCTGACGTGTTTGATAAAAAATTAAAAAATCTAGAGGCGATTTTGTAAGAATATTATGTTTCGCAATTCGTGACTTTCTTTTTTTTTTTTTTTGTTTACCGGAAGCGTATTTTCAAACTGCGAAATCGATAGTCCGAGATAGCGCGTCTTTTTTTCCAACTCCATTGTTTCATCGCTTTCTTCTCCCGACTCGTAGATATTTTTTTGATCAAGTCCATGAATGTGTATACACCGGCACAATATAGTTTTCGACTCCCCAATCTATTTGGAATCGCATGGGCTATCTTGCGATAGATATATACGTAAAAGATCTTACGAAAACTTTTGATTCGATATCACAGCCCCACTTGCGGCAAAAGTCAATTGCACCCTACACGTAGCTTCCCTCATCCATCGGGTTGGTTATATTTTCAAGTCTCGGTATGGCGTTTTTCAACCAAATGGTCCAGAGTCTCGGGGAAAATCACAAGTGATAATCGACGGCAGCCGGTACCCAAGACCCCGTCTATTGAATCTCGCGAGCATTGTCCTTCCGTAACTTACGCGCTACTGTCAGCGCACAGGCGTATCACCGCGTTGTACTTAGCGAGGGACTAACACGTACCGGAAATATCTGCCAGGACGACGATGAGCAACAGCAACAGCGGCGAGCCGCCCGTCGCGTCCCACCTCGTCCGCCGGCCGATGGTCCTCCTATCGGGCCACATATTTCCGCGACGCAGCTTTTCCCGTGATTATCTTCCGTTTTTTTTCGAGCACCTCAACACACCCACAACGCACTCACAACTGCGCGAGGCCGATTTCGCGGCTCGATTCCTTCATGTCGGCACTGGATCCCGCGATTCTTCGCTGGCTTGACCTGCAGGTCAGCGACACCACCAGGTCACGTCAACGATATTTCATCTCTTGTACAATGGACGAAAATACTACAAAGAACAAAAAAAAAAAAAAACAACGGTAAAGGATTAAGCGACAACTCGCGCACTTTGGCAATCACAACTTCCAAGGGTACCAGCCGACAAGCGCTTAGGGGTAGAACGGAAGAGGCAGAGCGAGAAGGTGGTAGCGCGAATAAAAAGCACACGCGAGTCTCCCCGCGGCAGCTGTCGAGCGGCTACTGAAGCTGGCTCCGCAAGCTCGGCGAGCTTTCGCTGCGTCGACGCCGACGCTCTCGAAAGCTCAGCCATTTTAACCACCCCCTCCGCTCTTCCCCGTGTGGATATAAAGTGGCGCGTGCGCGCACTCTCTGTCTGGTATATAGGTATACCTAATATGTACACGAGCACATTTATACTCGTGTGGAGCAAAGCTGAAGGTACCAGAACCTGCAGCAGCATGGTAGAGAAATAGGGGTGGAAAAACAGGCCGCCACTTTCCATTCGCGCGCCTCGGGTGATTGATTGGCACCGATGCTCGCCGCGACTGATTAAATCTTTTTTAATCTCTTTCAACACCGACGTCCCAGGATCGCTCGTCCTCGTCCCCGATCTCCCTTCTGCGACACTTTGAATTACGTTCTCGTATTATCATACTTTGTTGTTTTTCCCCCCGAATTTTTCGGCTCGAGTACAATGGGCTCGCATACGGGGCCAACGTTTTCTCCCCGATTTCTCAGCGTCCGGTCTTGAAATATTTTTTACACTCCTCGCCGAGATTTTTTAATACTATTTCAATAAGACACATTTCAAGTCCATTGGCAACAATTTCAATTACTTGCAACGTAAAAGTCAAGGTGGGAACGTATAAGAAGGAGCAAAGTAATTTATGGAATGAGAAGCACAGTGAGGTAATAATTGCATTTTGCTTAGGGGTGAGATTTTTCGAGAAAACATTTAAACGACCTCGTCCCTTCCACCGTGGTATCTCGGTCAAAGGATCCGAAACATAGGAAGCACTTGTTACAATTGGAGCGATGAAGCTGCTGGCCGCGGGCGTTTCACCAACAGCTTGTAAGCCCGTTGTACGAAAATACCCCATTGAAATGCAAGTTGTGCAACCGGTATCAAGTACATGCATTGTATTAGACAGGCTAAAACAGCAAAAGAGTCTGTTGAACCTCGGTGTAATGTGTGCCACGTGTAGGTATATACATATATATGTTGAGCACAAGTTGTATAATAATTGAAGCAAAAGCTCGAACGCTGTTTGTTGAAACTTTCTTATACGTATACTGCAGTGACAAAGTTCCTCGACACTATACTTCATTGTACCTGTTTTTTGTTGTTGTTGCACTGGTAGTACGGTATATACATGTATAATACGATTCACACTCGCCATCCCTCCTTTTTCCTCCTCGTTCGACTGCCGCTGCAAAACATACGATACAAAACTTGCGTTTGCCGAGTATACCTATATACCTAGTAGTGTACTTGTATACATGCATGTTCATTTGATTAATGAACTTGACTAGTGCAGAACCGCCGGACGTGTATCTGTACTCTGCAAGCTTTTCGATTTTTTTTTAAATTTTATTTTCAATAAAAGGTAGTGTCGAAAAACCCACGATTGTTTACTTGGTCGAAATGAAATTTTTCAGCCCGCGGGTGGTTGGGGGAGCCATCCCATTATCTCCGGGACGTTTCTCGAGGCAATAGCAGGAATCGCGCGAGCGGTAGTTTGACACTTTGAGATTCTTCGGTTCTTCTCTATCTCTATCCATTTTCTGACCTAGAGGAAGAAATTAAGTAGACACTCGCGAGAGTTGACGGGCGGCGGGAGAAAGAGTTCAGACGGACGCGTATGTATATATGCGAGGGGTTCCGGGGTGGAATGAAGAATTCGCAATCAGTGCCAAGAGCAAAGAGAAAGGGGAGAGGGGGAAGGGGAGAAAAAACAAAAGAAGGCGTCGGAAATGCAAGAAGAAGTAGAAGAGGAGTCATAGGAGGTAGCAGCTCAAGAGGACGGTGCTCGGGTCGAGATAACACGCGACCGAGGGGACAAGGGTTGGAAGAGCTATAGAACAGACGGAGGAGGCAAGTTGCCTCTTAGGGTCTTGCGGGATTCCCGAGCTTGAGAGCAGTAGTGGTATAGAAGCATCAACGGCCGCGCTCTCCCTCTTTCGCACCCTTGGCTCCAAGGGGCCAACTGCCAATCACCGGCTTGCGGTCAGCGAGCTTCCGAGAGCAGTTCTCCTTTTCCTCTTCCCTTGCTCCCACGAAGAGACTTAAGCGAAGGAAGGGCGAGACCGAGACACTTGTGGCACTGACATTAATTAAAACCGAGGCAATCGAGTGCAAGGCTAATCGCTCGAGACGCCCCATGGATAATTTTTTTCCCCCACATTATTTTGCGTTCAAAGTGCGAGAGAGTGTCCGTTTGGTGAAATAAAAGGGATGTGCGCTCGATCGTGAACTTTTAATTTTGGTGCCAACCGAGTATAACTCCCCTTTGTCCTTCTTCCGTTCGGCTATCGAATGATACATGGTATTACTTCAGATGTGCTTTCTGACAGATACACCAACGCCCCACCAAATGCGTTTTTTTTTTTTCTTCATAACTTACTAACAAAAAAGTTAATCAACAATACGAGGTATACAAACAAACGAAAATTTGGGTGCTCCCTAGTTAACTTGACGTTGTTTGCCACAGTGACAATAAAGGAAAAAAAAGTGGAAAAAGATAATATTGTTGTGTTTGTTCGAGAGAAACAGGGTATTTTTCTCGAGCCATACGAAACAGGGTTGTTATACCTTTCCGTAGGTTTTATATGTATATGCACCCGGAAATTTCCTTTTCACTGAATGCGCACACAACTCGTGTCAAAGTGTACGTATATACATGCATGCGCGCGCGCTGAAGCGTGAAAAAAGAAGCGGGAAGAACATACCGAAAAGAGAGTATTTGTATTTCCGTAACTTTTCAACGAAAAGGTGACGGGCTGGTGTGTAGTATAGGGGCGATAAAGACGAGGGAAAATAGAAAGTTTCTAACGGGGCAGGGAGTCGTGGAGGAGGAAAATAAGGTGCACTATACTCCGCGACAGTCGGCTGCTTCTCCACCCTCGAGTTGTTTGAATTCAGTCTTCACATGCAAAGGATACAAAGAGGGAGAGAACGAGTTAACCTTCCGTCACCCCCCACGCACTGAATTTCCGAAACTATAGCGGCAACTGTCGAATGGCATTCAAAGTGCATAACTATATACACGTGACGTGAGAGTTGAGGCGCGCTCGTTCATAACATACACTGCTACCGGCAATCCTCGGTCACATATGAATACTTGCACATAAAACGAAGAAAGTTACCGAAGCGAGTTTGAGTCGATGCTGTTATGCTCACCCGCAAATGGGTTTGCCTTACTAATGAGAGTACGTCTCCGTTATCAACTTATAAAAACATCGCTTGCAATCACTATAACTGTTCCAATTATTTGTCATTTTTGTTGGTTTTTTATATTACTCCTGATTACGGATATTCCTTAAATGTTCACCTTTCCCTAGAGTGGAAAAATAACCCAGAAAGGTTTTTTGAACTACCGGAACAGACGGCGCTTTTCTCTCCTCGAGTCGTCCATGTGAGGGTTTTGGGATTTTCAAATAAAAAGTTTTCAATTACTTTTTCTTTTTTTTTTTCGGTAGAAAATACAGTTGCAGTTTATTCAATATATTTACAGAATACAAACATTGTAAATAACATTACGTAAAACCTTACGCTCAAGATCCACGCAGGATACCTTGGGATCCTTGTTAAGACGAGAATTGTGGAACTCCGTTTCGATTGTTCGTAATTTATTTACTGTGATACGAATTTATTCACTTGAAGGTTAAATTTAATATTTGCACTCTAGATCCGAGAAAACAACATACTATACATGTCATCAGATGATATGACAAAAATTCAATGTAGTCCTTGGTTCTACGTCTCCTCGTCTTAAAGGATCTTCCATAAATAAAAAAAGAAGCAGCTTCACTGGCGACTGTATAAATGTCATATTTTAGGAAAAGACCATGAATTTGCGAGGTTTTAACACTATAACCTCTCGAAAACAGGATACAAAAGACCAGTTCACTCCCCTTTTTTACAGGTTACCCTCTTGTGCCAATCAATAACGATGCGAATATAAAAAATTACATTACAGATCTTTGTAATATTTCACTGCGAAAATAAGCAATTTATTTAATTGTGACGAAATATTTATTTTTGTACATAAATCAGATACAAATATATAATAATGTATATGTATATAAAAAACAATCGTATGATTAACTCGTTTTAACTCGATGCCTTATTAGAAGAAGGTAGTATACATCTCATTTTTTAAGTAGTAAAAGTTAGTATCTTAATTTTTGTCAATAAAGGTTTGCCTCAGATAGAAGAAAAATCAATTTGTACTTTTATTCTTATGACTATTTGTCATTAAATAAATTCTAATACTAATTTGCCTTCTTATAAAGATAATTTTGTTTCAGTTTCAAATAATTTTTTCGCAAAATTTGGTATTTAATTAAATTTATTAAGTTCACCATTTAGATATCAACTTTTTCCATCAAGAATGGAGACACTAGCCATTTCTACCAAGAATTGAGTTATTATCTTTCATTGCAATCAATTTTATTACTCTGTTTTTCACATCCAAAAAATCTGTCGTTTTTTTTTTTATTCAAGTACTAAATTGTAGGTATACTACATGAAGAAGTAAATTGTCCTATTGTTTATCCTTTCATTAAAATAGTGTCATAATTTTTCTCTGAAATGACAACTTTATTGTTATTGTACTTGGCAAGACGAGATACTGTGTTACGAAAAACTTTAAGATTCAAAGTATTTGAATCAAACAATAATATAATTGAATGAAACGTGAAAAAATTATGCTTTGAACAATGAATTCCATACCCTCTAAAATATGAATTGTGCTTATCTTGTAGAAAAAAATCAGTGACAAGTACAAGCCACAAAATCCAGAGTAACAGCAACAATAGCCTTTTTTTACGAACTTTGTACTGTTTTGAAAAAATATCCATACATATACATGATTTTCTTACGTTAGCTATCACAATCAGCTTCAACTGATTCAGGAGCTTGAAAATTTCACTGTCAACTTACTTTACTTATTTTTTTTTTTTTTTATATACATGCTGAGAGTGCCTGATCTATGTGCTTTATTTCTTTGCACAAATCTATGATCCAACAATATTGTTCAATATTGTAATATTTGCAATGTAAATAATACATTTCTGAACTTATCAATTCTGCACATTGCCAAAATTCATTGTGCTTTCTGTTTCGTATAAAATGTAGACTGAAATACTTCAGTATGTTACCTAGGTATAATTGTTAGCAAATTTTTTTCATATCAAGTTGATTCACAGTATATTCCTAGGTATTTTTTTTTTTTTTTTTACAATAAACTAGCTTTTTTTCTTACACTTGGCAGGTGGTACTCAACATTGGCACCAAAGTGCTTTTGCATAATAAAATACATCAATGTTGCAATTCGTATAAAAATTTAGAATATAACTTGTGCAACAGAACTGACTTTTGACGCTTTAAGAATTATTTAACAATTAAAACATGAATACAAGACAAATATAAAAGTATTGCTAAAAATTTATCTCTTTAAGAAGAGAGAAAAAAAACTAAACGAACACACGATGATATTTGTTGTGATCACAGACTGTTTAGCTTGAATGGCATTAAAACAATCGGGAGTAAATTCAAACGGTAAGTATTAACAAAATATTGGATGGACGTGTGCATAGGAGTAATAGTAATGTTGGTGGTGATGAAAATAATGATGATTAAAATAATAATAATAATAAAAAACACCGGTATACTTTTTTCCTTCCTCATGAGTCCTGAAAAGTTACTCCACTATGGTAACTGTTTCAGGAAGCTCCTCTTGTCAGACATGGTCACCCCAAACACTAGCCCACTTGGCTTTGTCCACCGAGGCTAGGTAAGTGCCATGTGGATACCAAGAAACAGCAGTGACGATATCTCTGCAACAAAAATATTTTCGATGAATAACATTCATTTTTTTTCTTCCCATCAATTTTTTTCAATACATTTAAACCACACTTTGTGCTTCAAGTCGAGGCTTCAAGTAATAATGGCAAATTTTTTGAAATTATTGTTTAATAACTAACAAAACAACAGCAACAACTTTACGATACATTTTCATCAAGTATAATAGATACAAACATTTTAGTGTGTTCGATATGTTGCAAAGCTATAATATTGCCCGACATCTAATTTACATACTACGTGACCTACTCTTGAACTTATGGTATTGATCTGCATACACGTTGCAAGGGAGGAAACGAGGGAATATAGTTTGCAGTTTAAGCTCACAATATAGTTTGATTTATAACGTCTATTCGGAACAACAAATCTAATAATTAAACAACTACGGAACTCAAAACCACAAATTTCGTCTAATAAACTTGCTTAAGTTTAAAATTCATAAATATCAACGTTTATACGTAAATAAAATATCATTTGCAAACGTAAATAATTAAACATTTTTCTTAAAATTTCATGAATGGGTATTTTATTAAAAAAATTGCGTGACGCTTCTTTGGTGCATCCGAAACGTGCAATCCTCTGGTTATTTAATCCATTCAATAAATAATCACAATTGGTTGGCTTGTACAATGTTTCAACGAAAGCCTCGAAGCAGATGTGTTGTTATTCTACCGAAGATCGCGTGACGAAAGACAAAGGCTCGAGTACAAATAAACCTAACCGAGCGTGTAAGCACGATGCAGTTGGCCAATTATTATCGCGTTGTTTCTCAAGCTGTTCTCACGTTACGTTGGCATTGTTATTTGTGTCAGTCAAAGTAAATTTTTAGCGGTCTATACTTCATATGCGTTCAAGTTTACAAAACCGCAAACGACCACGAGTCAAACAAATAAAAAAAAAAACACGTTCATCCGGAATACAGACATCTTTTTAAAGATATCCTATTGACAGAGTAACTATACCTTTCCCGACGATTTTTACATCTTCTTGTAACACGTATGCTTTATTATATAAAAATGCCTTTTGCAAATTAATAAAACACGAAGTTCATTCTGCTCGTCTCCCAATGATTAAGCCAACAATGGACACCACAATATTGATCACCTTTTCTGATACGTTACGAAACTTTGTTAAACTATAGAAAAAAGATTTTCCGCATGATCAAAATGATGATTTTCGACGCTTTACCGTTACACTTATCAGGGTGCATTCAATGAGGAATTTATATAATACACCGATCACTGTCAAAGTTTGTATCTTTCCAACCGAACAGTTTAATTAACCCGTAACAAAAAGATAGTTATCGGTGATACAGCTATATATCTTAATTTCGATTTTAGTTTGCCTCGTGTTAACCGCAACGTTGCGGTTGCACAAGCATAAATGAATTTTCGCTCGTTGCCCGTGTTATCTACAGGATATGTCTTGTACGTTATAGTTGTCCAGCAACGAAAAATCGTAAAAAGAAACAAACTGTTGAATGAAAAATCTTTCGACGTACTCTGGTAACCCACAAGGTAATTTCGTCCTCAAGCTCAAAGTCACCTCCACTCTTTCCATCCCCCCCCCCCAACCGGTACCGCAGTATGATGAAAAAACATCGCTCACCTAAATAGCATATCTCCGACTCGCGCGCATTCCGCAAACACGCGCTTCACACCCTAACCCTTGGAATAATGAAAGGAGTGGGAAACGATGATGATGATGATGATATCCGAATGCCAGAGGGCGGTGGACTGCCATTGCAGCGAGGATGCGCCGCGGAGAGCGACAATGGGCACTTTAATGAAAATTACTCGGCGCGCGATTCCGAGAAGGCGGAACCGTATAGGGGAGCAAAGGACGCTCGGGTTGCGCCATCCAGGACCCTCCCTTTCAGGACCGCCGGGTGGAATGCATTTTCGGCCCTTGCCCGGGGGGTAACAGCATCAGCATAACAGTAGCAGGGACTACTCGTATATACAGCAACTACGCGTGTCGCTGTACCAACATCAGCGGTACAGCAATACAGGCGCAAAAGGGCGTTTCTCGGGCAACGAGTCGATACAGGAGCAGTTCGGGTGTTCCTCGAATGCTTAATTGATCTATACGTGGTCCGTGCCTTGTGGGTGTGTATACCTGTGTGGAGACGTGACCACAGCCGCTGCCGACACCGCGCGGGAAAACGGATTTTTATTACCCAGCGGTGACTCGGCACTTGTTTTTTTTTTTTTTTTTTTCCCCCGTGGCCCGCAACAACAGCTGTCCATTACCCTTGAGTGCGCGCTCGGGAGTAGCCGGTGTGTAACGAAACACGAGATGCGCGCTCGAGAATCGCCGATAAGGAACCGCCCACAACGCGAGTCGTCGCTTCATCTTTCCCCGACAAAGTTCCACGATACTTGGCTGTGTGGATCTTTAATATGATACAATTGATCGCGCAACGTGTATTTATATATTTATATACCCATGGGTCTACACTTTCTTCTCCGATCTTCTTTTTTGTCGCCGCCGTCGTCTCTCTTGCAATTTCAACGACGACGCCGACGAATTATCTTGTTTACTCAGCGGAAAATTGTACCGTATATAATTACGAAATTAATGTCGAGTGAGAGCAAATACATACTTCTTACCGCAGGCGTGTTGGAAGATTGTTTTTTTTTTTTTTTTTTTTTTTTAACCAAGGCTATTAATACTTTTGTTGCTTTTCCAATCCATAGCTTTTGAATGTAATTNTATATATATATATATCTTTTACGTGAAGCCTGGCAAAGCGGGTTCAACAAAAAATTCGCGATCACGTCTTCCTGCTGCTGTGCTGTTGCTGCCTTCTACGAGAAAAGCAGTTAATTTTACGTATATCCCTACTCTTTTGATAAGCGTGTATCTGAGAAACTGGTTTATTTCTTTGGAAAATGATTTTCATCCAAGAGACTCGGGGTCAAATGAAACGAGAAAAAGATAAAATACACAATAACAAAAATTTCCGAAAACGTGAGTCGAAAGATTTTTTTTTTTTTTTTTTTTTCAACAAAGTTGGACATTGCTCGAAAAAAGTACAAGAGAAATTTTTCACTTGAAACAAACCGATCATAAAATATAATTTGTTTACGGAGGAATATTGTTTTCCATACTTTTATTCATCAAAATTGTACATAATTATGTTTGTGTTCAGAAAAAGACTTTGAAATAAAATAAAAAAGCGTTTGTTAGGCAACAGATCTGTATGAAGCTGCGAAACGATATCTATGGTGCCCAGACTCTACGATAAAACGCATCGAATGAGAGGCGTTTCGCGACGAGCTGACACTAGAGTGCAAAAAATTTTTATATGACCATCGGATCAATGTCACTGTGATCTCATGTTCTCATGTCTTTGCACCTTTTTTTACTCCACATACTTACTCGCACAAATGTACGGGGCAAAAAAAAGCAAACACGGGCTAAACGTTTCCCAATCGTCCCTATGTAGGTACATCCTCAAACATAGATTTAAAGCGGAGCTTGCACGCGGATAAGAAAAGGCATGTATATGTAGTTCCAAGCGAGATCATTTCCTTCCTCGCGAGGATAATATGTTGGGTGATAACGTTTTGTGGACAAGATAGGCGCGAGCGACGCGAACTGGGACGGTGCATCGGCTCTATTTTTTTATGCCGTTCAAGTGATCATCGGCCAAAATTGTGACAGTCAAATTCCTTATCGCGTTGCTCGTGCGGTTTTTTCACCTTTTTTTTTTTATCATATAGTTAAATTAGGTTTTATAGGGAAAATTCAGCCGATTTATGAATCCATAGCCAATGTAAAATATCCGAATCGGCCTAAAATTGAGTATAAAATTTGTTTCATACAAACTTAGACGATTCATACGATGTATGGTGACGCTTTTTGCTATGGTGAAAATACGTAGAGCACTACTGAGGAACCTTGTGAATGACGGCTGAAGTGACTAATCTACAATACTACTATGCTACTAAACTGTCGCAAACAAAAAGTACTCTAATAAACATATAGCTTATAACTGTTTTATTATCTTTTATTTTACTATATGCGACTGTATGGTAATCTATCAAGAATCGTCTAAAGTAGGTATACTAGATGATAATGACATATCGAAAGTGGTCGTTGGAACCTAATAATGCATGATTTGGCTGATGGATTGTTGTTTGCCTTGCTCAAATTGAAGGTTTGCTCTGCACGGATTCGATAGCTCGGCCCACAAAGCTTGACCAAGCAAACAAGGATCCAACCTCAACAACGTATATATGTATATATATATACATCCATGCGGATATCACATTGCGTTCTTTTTATTCGTAATTTGTAAAAGTGCATTGGTACATAAATATTTAACGGCCAATACCATAATAGCACGCCATGTTAATAAATAGTAGTAAAAGGAAATTGTTATTTAATCCACAAAAAGGTTGAAGGACCCATTTATGCATTAATTTTGCACTTCTCGGTAAGTGCGAGGGTTGCGATTGTTTTTTCAATCGTAATTATAGGTACGTCGAAAAGACTGTCGACGTTTCCATGTACTCATCCCATGCACGACCAACTCCCGGCGTTCGTCCTCCCTGTCCTAGTTATAGGGATCCGCAAAGTTTGGCGGACGCTTTGCTTATTTAGCCGAAGGACGGAGCTTCCGTTGACGTAAGCCGAATATCGCAGCTTATACGGGACCACCCGCGTCAGCGCAAAACTCACCGCGAGCATAATTAGACGACTAGTTACAGCGACGGGAGATAAGAGCCCTCGACTGCGGTACCTACCGGATTACGCGCGAGGGCGCATTTAATGGGTGATGCACGCGAGGCCGGAAACTGAGAGAGGGACGGAGGGTGGTGTTGTGTTCATTGGATCCCCCCGTCCACCCTCTCGTACGACCAATGTGCGGAAATCGTGTCACTTGACCGCAAAGCCTACAACGCGCGCCACTGCAAAAGTTTTACCGGGTTGTGTACATCGCGAGCGAGTTTTCTCTTTTATATTG